TATATATATATATATATATATATGTGTGTGCATGTTTTGCATCTGATATCTCATGTACCTTCTGGTTCTTTTAGAAAATGCCGAGCGGGAAGGTTGGTTTCAGCAAAGCCATGTCCAACAAATGGATCCGTCTGGATAAAGCTCATGAGGGAGGACCAAGAGTCTTTAAAACCGTGAGTTACATGCTGCGCACATAAAGAATTAAGCCTGAATCTCCCAGTGAATGTGTTATTAATGTAGTGTGTGTGTTTCAGGTGGAAACTATTGAGGATACAGTAAGGGACAAACTACAGCTGGTGCAGAAGGGACTGTCGGCAAAACTAAAGGACAAAGAGAAGAATGAACTCAAGAAACGTAAACTGCTATCAGAAGTGTAAGAGAGAGTGTCGAGTTTTTGGCTTGAACTTGAAGTTGTTCATTTAATGCTACATGAGCAGTAGGAGGCGCTACAGCTCAATAACAATCTCATCCCAGTTGCCCACTTTTTCATCCCGGTTTTTTTTTTTTATGGGAAAACTATATAATGTATTCCTAATTTGTTAATGTGTGAATGTTTAATTTCAGGACGGTTAAGTCATACCGGATCACTAAAGGCAGCAGCTTCAGTACCACCATCACCAAACAAGAGACAGAACTCACTCCAGAGATGATCGCCAGGTGAGACTAATCATTTTCTCAAAGGGTGTAAAAATTGTTGAGGACCTAAATGTATTACACAACATAATGTTGCAAAGATGCAGTTCTGAAACACAAGATTTTCCTACTACTTCTGACTTGTGCTAAGTTATTAACAACTTAAAAACAGCACAATTTCGATTCTTTGTGTATTTGTAAGTTGCATGACTTGTGTTTTCAGTTGTGTTGAATAAAACGCTTCATAATGTTTCAGTGGAAGCTGGAAGGAGAAGAAGTTCAAGCCGTATAATTTCGAGGCGATGGGTGTCGCTCCAGACTGCGGTCACCTGCACCCGCTCATGAAGGTCCGGACGCAGTTCAGGCAGATCTTCCTGGAGATGGGGTCAGTCCTTTACTTTTGCATAACACTCTTCTGCCTCAGCTGATAAACCACCAGTTGTCAGATTTATTGTGTGGACATATTTTGGGCAAAATTATTTCACATATGCTTGGTTAGTGTTTTTGTTGAGCAGTAAAAAATTTGAGTGAAAAATTTTAAAGCGTGTCCTTAACCTAAACATTGTCGATAATTATAATTAGACAATATTGTGCCAAGTGTGTTTTTGTGCTGGTATCTTTTTTCTGCTTTAGGCCTTTTATGGACCGCTGACTCCCCAAGCTTTTAGTATTC